AAAAAGCTACTTTTTAAGAGTTTTCGCGCATCTCGTTATGTCGCATGAAACGCAAGGAATCCTTGAGATTAATGCCAGCCGCTTTTGAAAACTCGGCGTCCTCTTGGGGGTTTTCTTGGGCTGCTGCGGGCCCCCCGGCTTCCTCCTCGTTCTCATTGTTCTTTCCTCCTCCTCCTCTTCTCCGCCTCCTCCTCCTCCCCCTCCTCATCCTCCTCATCATCATTCTCATCATCATCATCATCATCATCATCATCATCATCATCATCATCATCATCATTCTCATCATCATCATCATCATCATCATCAGCATCATCATCATCCCCCTCCTCCTCCTCCACATCGTTATCCTTCTTCTCCTCTTCCTCCTCCTCCTCTTCCTCCTCCCACTCCTCTTCCTCCTCTTCCTCTCGGAGGAGGGCACCGTGAGACAACCCTCCTTATCCCCGCCTGGAACCCGCGAATGGGGTGGATAATATGCGATCCTTCGCGCGGGCGACGACGAAGACGGGGTTCGAGAGATCAAGGGGGAAAGATTGCATTTCCCGCCGCGCTGTCGGGCCAGCTGCCCAGATCTGCGCGGCGAAAGCAGGAGCGGCAGAGCCGGGCGAAAGACGCGGGGGCGAGGGCTGACCCTGAGGGTGCAATGCCCAAGCCTGCGCCGCGCGGAGAGGAGGAGATGCGAACGGGGAAGTCGGCTGACCCTGGGGGTGCAATGCCGAGCAGCATTAGAGCGAGAAGCGCGGCCCGGGGCGCATCCGGCTCCCAGTGCACTCCAGCTCCCGCCAAGCAGAGCAGGGACAGACGAGGCCTGACCCTGGCGGTGCAATGCCGCGCAGCACAGAGCCGACCCTGAAAGCGCAACGCCTGGCGCGGTAGAAGGAAGACAAGGGCTGACCCTGAGGGTGCGATGCCCAGCGGAAAGAACGAGGCGGAACGAAAAAACGGCCGACCCCGGAGGCGCAATGCCGCGGTCAGCGGTGGACTCTGTAGGCACACCAGTCGGAGATCTCCCTCATCCGGTCGAGCTCGCTCCCGGCCCTGTCCGCGGCGCCCATCTGCGCCGAGCCAACGTGGCCGAGGAGGTCCTGCACCTCGCTGGCTTCAAGGGCGAAGACCGCCGAGTGCAAGGAGTCGCAAAGCCAGGCGGCGTCGCCGTCTCGAACGGCCTCTGGAGGTCGAACGAGCGCGATCCAATGTCGAGGGCATGGCTGGTGCAGGATGACACCCAAGGCGTGGTTGCCGTTGAAGACAGCCAGACAGCTGTCGGAGTCCCCCACGGCGAGGATGGCGTCCTGGTGGTCCGCGCCCTGCAACAAATCGAAATGGCACCCGCGCTCTGCGAGGTTCTGACGCAACCCCCCGTCGTCGAAATCCCCCTCGGGGTAGAGTCCGTCTCCCGCGCCCTGCCGGAACTCCTCGGCCGACAGCTGCGGCATGCCCGCGTGGCCCAGGCAATGGTTCACCGCGAAGAAACCGCACGTGAGGCCCAGCTGGGTGCCGGACGCGGGATCGACCTCGCCCATGAGAGGATTGTTGAACCACGCGGGCGCGCTCCTTCGTCGGCCGATGGCGCGGCCGAGCAAGGAACAATGCCAGCCGCCGGCGCTGGCCGAGGGCGCCGACGGCAGACTCGACTGCGTCGAAGAGGCTGGCGCCGCGCCAGGAACCGCGCAGGCCCGCTCGCCCTCGTCCCCGGCGCCCTCGCCGCGCGACCGCTTCCGCCGCAGCGGAGCGCCCCCGGGCTCGTCGGGCGGCGCGGTCGGCCGGTCCGTCTTCGAGCGCAGTTCCTCGCGCGGCCTCTTGCCCCGGAGTCTCCTCCGCGGGGCCGCGTCGGGCCTCGCCTCGGCCGAGGCGCTTGCGACGGGCCGGGCGCAGGCGGCGCCCGCCCTGATCCAGTCCTCGGCGATATACAAGAATCTGCCCTGGCGGTCGGGGTCCAGCGGGCACTCCGGCACGTCCTCCCAGGCCGGCGCCCCCAGCTCCTTCTGCGCGCGCAGCATCCTGCGCGAAGTCCTCCTGCTGAGCGTCGCAGCCGCGCCCAAGAACTCGATGAGGTAGTCCGGCGGCCCTTGCTCGAGGATCGACCAGTCCAGATCGCCGGTGCTCTCGTCGAGCGGGAAGTTCTGCAGCAGCATCCACTCCAGCTTCCTGGCTCTTCCAAGGATCATCCAGACGTGCTGGAAGTACACCCCCCGGCGATCCTCGCCCTGCATCGTGCCAGGCCGAAAGAGGTCGACGACGAAACCTTTGGGCTGGCCCTCGGGCCCGCGGATAGTGCGGCCCTGGATGCTCTGGAAAGTGAGCTGGTCCTCGGGCGCCCAACTGAGCTGCGTGCGCGCGACCTGCAGCCCCTTCTTCTGCTTGCTCTTGACGACGAACTGCTTGGCCCGAGGCGCGCCCGGGTGATTCACCGTCTGCACGCGCGCGACGGGCAACTCCCACTCGTCCTGCACAGGCTCCAGATGGAACACGCCCCGCTTGCCCAGGCCAGTGTAGTCCACCTGGTCGAGATCTGCAAACGCCCGCGTCGCGTCGCACTGCCGACGCGAACTGATATGGATCGCAAGGTCGCGCTGCCTGAACACGCGAGCAGCCCGAGCTCAAGATCCGATTCAGTTCTGGATTCCAAAGAGGGGCCTCGGTCCCGCGAGAGGGCCCAGCCCCCTTCCCTCGCCCCCCGCAGTCGCGGCCCCCCTGAAGTTCGGCGCGGTCGTTTGCAGAGCTCGCCAAGGGGCCCACCGTGCTTCCGTCCCAGCGAATCTCGAGATGCACGGGGAGATAATCGCAAACAACGAATCCTCGCTGCCAGCAAGGGTGATTCGGCGAGGGCCGTTCAGAACCGCCGCCGAGATTCTCCCCGAAGCCGAATCGCTCCCGCGGGTGAAAGCGGATGCCCACGACCTCGCCCGTGGCCTCCTGCACCAGCTCCGGCCCCATGACCTTCTTCGTGAGCCGCCCTCGCATGCCCAAGTAGGCCGCGCACATGCCCGGCAGGCCGTTGCTCTTGGAGAGGTTCATGAACTTCAGCGCCTCGAGGTACATGTCTCGGTCCTGGTGGTGCTTGAAGCGGTCCACGGCCTGGAAATAATGGACGAGCTGCCCGCGCGCCCCCGAATGCGCCGCGCTGAAGCCGTGGCGACGAAGATCCGGCCGGCCGTCCTCCCCGTTGAGCAAGGCCCTGGGGCCAGGGCAGACCCTCGCGGAGGCGAGCACGTGGAGCTGCTGCAGGCGCGCGACCTGCTCCCACTGGATCGCCGCGCGAGCGCCGAGGGCGAAGAAGCCCCGAACGCCCTCCAGTTCGTAGTCCATGGACATCCTCGGGTCGTCGGGGCCCCGCTGGACGCGATCTCTGATCTTCGCGCGCAAGTCGTCAGGCACTCTCGCCCCGCCCGGAGTGCGCATGACCTCGAAAAGCAGCGGTAGGTCCTCGTCGAGAAAGCGGTGCGTGCCAGTGAAGACGACCACGTCGGAGGCCATCTTCCTGAAGACCTTCCAGCCGTCTTCGTCCTCGTCCGTGATCTTCCGCGGCACGCCGGGGACGCGCGCGCGGGCCAGCAGGGCTTCCAGCAGCGTGTGGCTGCAGACCGGGTTGATCTGCATGAAGTCGCCCATGATGGCCTGCACGGGGACCTGGCCGAAGGGCTCTTCGATGGCCCTCGCCACGCACAGCCGCAGCAAGTCCTTGCGGCCGAAAGTCGCGCGGCGACTCAGGCCCGCAAGGAGCGGGGGGGACGCCAGGCCGATCTCGTCGGCGAGGAGGAGCACAAGATACTCCCACTCGGCCTCCAACTTCTTCTTCGCCCTGGTGTTGGGTTTCAATTTACTCGCCGCGAGAGACTGCTTCCGCGTCAGCTTCGCCGCCGCGTGCATGGTCTTGCCGCCGAGAATGCGGGCGGCGCTGTTGGCCGCGGCCACGAGCTTCAGCCCCCTGTGCCCGAAGAAACGCACGACCACCTTGTTGACCACCTCGGTCATGCAATACGTCTTCCCCGAGCCCCCCGGGCCGTGCAGGAAGTCGCGGCGGACCTGCACGTCTCTCGAGGCCGCTGCGAGGCCCGCGGCCGTGGACAAGCTGTCCAAGCCGTCCGTCTCGAGGGCCTTCTGCCACAGTTGTTGTATCGGTTGAAGGAGGAAGAGCGTCACCAGGTACTGCTCCTTGCTCTTCCAGACCCCAGACTCGGCGATGAGGGTCAGCGCCGCCTGCAGCGGGGAGATCGGCACGTCCTCCGGGCCGAGGCGCCTCGACGGCGCGGGCGCGTCGGAGAAGGCCGCCGCGGCGACGGGCAGATCGGCGCCCGCGGCCTCCAGATTGTCGTCCTGGGCGGCCCTCTGTTCGCGGATCGCGTCCTGGTTCTTTGTGGCGGTCTGCACGTCAGCAGGAGTCATCGCCGCCAGCCGAGGGGCGCGCTCGGGCACGGCGCAGGGCTGCCGAACGCAGGCGTAAGCGCGGCGTTGCAACTGCAAGAACGTTTCCATCAAGGCTTTCTTGTGCGCTCCCACGCGACTGCTCTTAGCCGCCTGGGCCGCCGCCGTCCGGTGCACGACGTCGTCGAACTCGTCCTCTGCCAGCCTCCAGCGAGGTCTCATGCCCTCCTTGTCCTCTCGCGCGTCTGCCACTTCCTGGCGCTCCTCCGCGGAGGAATCTTCACCTGGCAGAGCCTCGTCCAGGCCGAAGGCCCCGTCATCGTCGGAGCGATCTCCGCCGAGCTCCTCCTCCGCCACCGCGTCGCTGGGCCCCCTTGCCGGCTTCGGCAGCCCGCGGGCCTCGGCCATGTACTCCAGGCGGGCGGCCACCTCCACGTGCCGAACAGCGAAGAACATCTCGGGGGTCAGCTGGTCGTCGTGAACTCCAGGACAGGCGCAGGCGATCGACTCGCCCTCGAGGGCCGCCCGCTCGTCGAGCCGAGCGCGCTCCTCCTCCGAGCCGGCGACCCCCAGGCGCCGCCCGTCGTCGCCGCGGACGTCGCCCGCGAAGCGCAGCACGGCCCAGGCGAGGTCCACCGGGAGGGCCATGCGCCAGCAAACCGCTCCGCGCGACGGCCGCTGCAGATCGGCGCCTGCGACGGGGGTCGGGATCTCGCGGCGGCGGCACCACGTGCCGTCCAAACCAGGATCCGTCGCATGGCGGCCGCCGCAGAGCAACGGCAGGAAACTCTCGTGGACCGGGCCCCCGCGCACGGTGCCGGGGAGATGCCAGTAACGGATGGCGGTTGTGTCGTGCAGCACGGGGCATTGCCGCGAGCGCTGCAGGGCCTGGTCGGCCCGCTTCGCCAGGACGAGCTGCTCGGCGCGATACACGCGCCAAGGTCCCAGGAAGGAGAGAGGGGCGCGACCCCTGGCCCGCCCTCCCTCCCTGCTGCGGGACGCGCAGCAGAAGTGCTGAGCGAAGTGCACCTGGCGACAGCTGTCCGGCCCCGGGCACGCATGCGGCCTCAACAACACCTGCTTGAAACAGGCGTTCGTCTCCGGGTCCTTCTCTTCGGTCGGCATCGTGAAAAAAGAAAAAGAAAAAAAAACGATAAAAAAAAAAGATGAAAAAAAAAGAAAAAAAAAATGAAAAAAAAAAGAAAAAACGGAGTAAGAAAAAAAACCCCCCTTGATCGCCCCACCCCCCCCCCACGGCCCGCCCTCCCACCACCGCCCCCCAACCCCCACCCGACCACACCTTGCCTCCCCTCACCTCATCCCCACCCCCCCCCACCGAAACAACGCCTTCGCAGAACTTCTACTGCCGGCTGCTGCCCGCAGCTGCTGGTACGCCCACTATCCCCATCACGCGTAAAGTGGCCCGGCGAAAGCGCACTACGTCTGGCGCCCGGGCGTTCGGTCCCCGGGCACACGCGCACGCACTCTGCGCCGTAGTCGTAATACGACATGGAGGCCAGGGGAGACTTCGCCGCTCGACCCGACGCGCCGAACTCGGCGGAGCCGCGGTGCAAGTAGTCGTCGTAGTAGCTGTTGCTCTTCAGGCGGACCCCCGCGTTTCTCTGCTGCGGCTCGTCCGTGGCCTCCTCGGCCAAGGAAGGGCCGCGCTCCCCGCGCGCCGCGAAGAGATCGTCTGTGGGCGCGCCGCCCGCGGCCGCGACCTGCGTGGAGGCAGCAGAACCGAGCTCGGCGGCGACGCTGGCCGGCGGCGGCGCCGGGCGCGCAGCTGACCCTGCGGGTGCAATCGCTGCGGGGCGCCTCCGCGGCCCAGCCGGACTCTCGCCGCGTGTGCCCAGCGGCGACGCATGATTGCGCGGTGCCTCTGGGATGTCTGAAGCCTCGTCGGCGGCGTCGCCGTCGGCGCTCTCGTCGCGCTCCTCGGGCTCGCTGTCACAATCGTCCGGGTCAGTGGCCTGGCTGTCCACTTCCGCGGCGTCGAGGAGCACCGTGGCCTCGTGCAGCTGCTCGCGCTCGTCGAACCCCTGCCGAAGTCGTCGGCCCTCGAAGGCCAGCCACATGGCGTTCTTCATCATCAACTGCCAGGTGGAGTGGGAGCGCAGCACCTCGCGTCGGGTGAGCATCTGCATGACCATGAGGCAGTTCCCCTTCACGATGGCCTGGTTGGCAGCGGTGGCCTGTCGGATCAAGCGCCGCCGAGCCTCGTCCTGGACCTGAGGCAGGTCGAGCTTAAGATCCAAATCAGTTCGTTGAGGCGTCGCCCCTGGCGTTCGAAATCTGCGCGAGCTGATCTGGACGTGAACGTTGAAATGCCGAGGCGCAGAGCAACAAATAGCCACGCATCCAAGGAGAGCTGGGTTCCCGTCAGGAACTTGCGCGCCCGGGCAGCTCGAGCTTAAGATCCAAATCAGTTCGTGGAGAGGTTGCCCATGACGGCCGACAGCGTCGCGAACTGATTTGGATCTTCAGCTCGAAATCCGTGGGCCCGCATATTACAATAGGGAGCCCTGCCCCGCGCCGTCTCGAGGCGCAGAGAACCGCGCGAAATCAAAACGTGCGTTCTCGACATTTGATCTTCACGTCCGCACGGGGGGCGGGGGGGCAGCGCCTTGAAACCTGCGCAGCTGGTCAGAGTCAGGCTTCCGATAACAGCGCGAACTGATTCGGGTCTTAAGCTCGAGCTCCCCGCCCCCTCGATTTTCTGCGGAATTCCCAACGCCCTCCGACCTTGCTCAGCGCGGGCCCCCTCGCCGACGGCTTCGGCACCGGCGCTGCCCCCTCCGCCTCCGCCGCTGCCGCCGCCTCTTCCTCGGTGCGGAGCCGCTCCTCCAGGCGCCGAATGCCGTCGCGAACCGCGACCAGGAGCGGCGCGCAGGTCATGTTCGGCTTCGTGGAGTAGTCGCAAGCGTAGAACATGGCCTGAACGGACTGCTTCATAATGGTGACGGTCATTGCTTTGATACTGCGCCTGAAGCGCTCGGCCGGGCCCAACCTCAGATACGCCGCCCTGCGAGCGGCTCGCTGTTGCCGGAGCCTCATCTCCGCCTCCTCATATTCCAGCTCTGGTTTGTTGGCCCTCTTGCGGGCGGCCGCAAGCTTCTCCATGTTCGCGGCGAAGCTTGCCTCGAACTTCTCGTCCTCCTCCGCCTGGAGCGAGGCCTCGTCGTCCGCCGAGAGGGGCGGGTCGCGCAGCCCGTCCCGCATCTGGACATCAAATCCGTCAAAGAAAGTGCGCATCATACTCTGGAAGTCCACGTTGGAGTTCAGCGCCGTCTGGGCCACGCCGTTGGAGCTGCCTTCCATCGGGTTCCAGCGAATGGGCATGACCAGACCCTGCTTCCCATGGTCGGGATCGAGGTTGACGACCGGGCCGAGTTTGCGCCCGGGGCGCAGGGGCACGGGCGCGCCGTCCTCGTCCAGGGGGAACATATCCGGCTCCGGTTCCCCTGGCCCCCGCGGCAGCACGAGGTCTTTGCCGGTCCGCGCCAAGGTCACCAGCTTCTTGGAGCGCTTCTGCTGCGCCGAGGAGTCCCCGCCGTCGCCGACGCGGAGCCAGAGCTTGACGAAGTGGCAGAAGTTGAAGCGGCAGTGCCGCGCGAAGCGCATGGACTTCTCGACAACGTACTTGAAGCACGTGTCCTTGTGCTGGTGCATCTGGCCCACGGCGATGTCCTGGCGGTAATCCTCGGCGTAGCGCGCGGCCCAGGCCGCCGCCTCCGCGCTCCGGCCCGCCGCGGTCTCCAGGTCGTCGCCCGTGGTCGGGCGCAGCAGCCTGTAGTGCTCGAGGCGACAGAGCTGGGCGCCCGTCTGGGGCACCATGTATTCGCTCATGGGTCGCGCCTCGGGCGCCAAGGACATCCGATGCCGTCGGAGGTGGTGGTCCTCGAATGGGGGCTCTGTGGCCAAGAAGACGCGCCGTTTCTCCGGCTCGTCCACGTCGTGCTCCAGCTCCCCATCCATGCGGCAATCCCGCTGCAGCTTCTCGGAGAAGGGCGTGTTCCTGGGCTCGGGCGCCCGGTCGGGGTCGTCGGTGAGGAGCAGCGGGAGCACGGCCGCTGAGTCCAGCTGCATGGACTGCACTGCGGCCAAGGTCTTTTCCTGCCACACGCGGAGCCGCTGCCGGATCTCCTCGGTCTCCCTGTTGAGCACGCACCGGAGCCACTGCTCGGACTGCGCGTGCACGAACCACAGGAGGATGTGCGGGTGGATGGACAGCCGGGCCTGCTCCTCGATGGGCCCGTGCAGCGCCGCCAACATGAGGAAGGCTCCGCCCGTGCACGAAGTGGCGAAGCCATCGGGGAAAGCCGCCCCGTCGCAACGGCCGTTGTGGCGCAGGTGGAAGTCCCAGGGGCCGGTGCCCAGCACGTGCTCGCAGAAAAGCTTCATGCTAAAGATGAAGAAGCGGGCCTGGGCCACCGGGTCCTGCGCCACGATCTGGAGCATCTTCCGCGCGGAGGGCATGTCCGGGGCTTCCGCGAGGAGGTCCACGGCGCGGGTCTCGCAGCCCCCCGCCGCGTGCAGGGCAAGCAAGATGGGGCTCCGCACGTCCGCGACGTTCGGAGTCAGAAAGCCACCGGCGCCGCCGAACATGAGGGCGAAGCCGTTCTGCTCGTGGCGCAATTTCGCGCGCGCGCCGTCCGAGCCGAGAACTTCTGAGGTGAACACCATGAGCTCGGAGAGCGCGTCTTTGACGTCCTGGTCCACGGCGGGGGACCGCATCGCGTCCTTCAGGGACGCATTCGGCCCTAGGCTCTGCACGGCGGCATCGAGCTTCTCCGTGGAGGCCGCGCAGATCTTCTCCAGGCGCTCCTGGAAGCCCGTTCTGTGCACGTGGCCCCTGGCCCTGCGGATCTGCTCGATGCGGCGCCCGGCGTCGTAGTAGCAGCAGATGAGATCGCGGTCGGCCCCCCAGCGCGGCTGCTCGGGCGCGACGTAGCGCCGGCACGCCTCTCTGCACTGCTGGCAGGCGCAGGAGCCGCCGGAGGGGCGAGACTGCCCGGTCGCGCCGGGCCCGTCCGCGGCGGTCTCGACCCACGCCTTGCAAGCGGCGGCCGCGGCCAAATCTTCGGGCGTGACCTGGTGCACCAGCTCCTCGCGGAGCAAGTGCATTGACGTGCACTGTTGGAACGACATGGGCGCAGTCCTGGACAAGCCGAACACGCCGTCGCCGTACGGGAACTTGTCGGGGAAGCACATGGACCAGAGCTCGGGGCTGTACATCGAGAGCGGCTGTGCGGCAGTGCCCTGGGCATACCCTTCCATCGCGCCTATGGGAGCCGCCGCCCGTTGGCCCGTCTCCTCCAGGGCCGTGACCGTCTTGTGGTGGTGGTGGATCCTGTCCGCCAAGCCGCGATCCAGCATGCCTCTGGCGCTGACCTGAAGCTGCTTGATGAGGCGCCGGCGCGGGTAGCCCATGCCGGAGGCCTCCTCGCGCATGGAATCCTGCAGAGCCTCGAGCTCACCGTGCACCTTGCGGATCGCCTGGAGCTCGTCGAGGTCGCCGCCGGTCGCGGCATCGGCGCAGAAAGACATCGCCGGGAGCGCCTCGGCGGGGAAGTCCGGGTCGGGCAGCGCGGCGTTGAGATCGTTCTCCCCCTCCTCTTCCTCTGCCTCGTGCTCGGACGCGCACTCCTCCCCGTCCACCCTGACGACTTGCTCGTCGGCCCCGGCGCAGGCGTCGGCGGGGCCCTCCAGCCGGTGCTTCAGCTGCTCGGAGACCTCAATGGGGATTGCAATGCTTCGCACGGCCTCGGGGACGGCGCCGGCGTCGCTCATGACGGCGTCTGCCCTGTCCTGGTTGCAGGTCATGTCGTTGTACGAGACCGAATGGGAGGTCAGGAAGCTGGCGGCCCCCATGTATTCGCCCTTGCGCACGTTGGCCCACCGGGCCTTGCTGAGGTCGTCCACGTCGGCCCCTGCCAGGGCAATGACGACGGACTCAGCGAGGAATCGCTGCGCCTCGGGAGGGGGGGCGGGCAGCTCGGCGCTGCGCAGGAGATCCACCTTGCGAGACGTCTCCAGGCGCGCCGCCTGGGCCACGCGCGCCAGCAACGGCAGAAATCGCCTTCCCCTGGAATCCAACATCTGACTGCTGGCGCGCGCCCCCAGGAGCGCGGCTTGAGACCGCCCCAAACCTTCGCCTGCGGGAAACAGATAAAGTTCCCAACGAGCCCCCCCTGCCGTTCGTCTCGAGGGCCTCTCTTCTCGGGCTCGGCGATGATCTTGTTCACGCACACGCGGCCCCTGGCTAGCGATCGCAGCTCCATGTCCCGCAACGGCTCGCCGCCAGGCCGGAGAGGAAAAGGGACTCGGCCGATCCAGTTGTCGTTCGCCAGGGCGTACATTGGCATTTTCACTGCCGGCGCGCCCTCCAAGGTCTTGCCGCAATCGAAACACACTTTCACCAGCGGGGCCCGCCCGTGCTCGTCGAGGCTAAGGCAGGGCAACCTGCGAGCGTGCAGCAGCCACCGCCACTCGGGCCTGCGCGGGTGCGGCACGCTGGAGGCCCACAGCTCGTGCCGCGGGATCAGCGGCCACCTCGCGGCATAGCGCTCCACGGAGAGGAGCGCGTGGACTTTCGCGGCGGCCTCGGGCCGCACCGCGAAGCGAGCCCGGCGCGGCGGGGCCGCGTCCTCGGCGGGCGGCGGCTCCGGGTGCCCCCGGGGGTGACGCGCAGGCGCGTCCGCCGGCACGCCTTCCGCGCCGTGCCCCTGGGCGCCGTCCGCCGCGGGATCGCCGGCGCCCGCTGCCAGCTCGGGGTCCACGGGCTCCACGAACAAGTCCGCGTCGAAGAGTTCCTCCAGCCAGAAAGAGCGCGCGCAGACAACGCAGCCGCTCAGGGCGCGGCAGGTGGTCGGGGCGGTCTGCCGGCTCTCGAAGTGCCCGGCCCACGCACCCCCCGGTCGGCTCTGCGTCTGGTTCTCCGCGAAGCGTCCGAGCGCGCGGCGCTGCTCGGCGCCCCGGACCTCGAAGGGGCCCTCCAGCTGTTCGTCCGCAAGGATTCTCTTTCGGACCTCTTCCTCCACTCGCCGCGGCGCCAGCAAGCCCCGCTCGGCCTCGGGCAGGTTCACGTGCTCCTCGCGCCAGTGCTCCTGCAACAACTGCTTCGTGGCGAAGTCCTGGCCGCAGAGGTAGCACGGGCACGGCTGGCAGCACACGGGCTCTCTGGGCCATTCGCACCGGCTGCCGAGAATAGCGCTGCCAGGGATATACGCCTCGGCCTGGCGCACCGTGCCCCACAACACGTTGGCCGGGACCGCCGTCTCCCACGCGGCCATGTCCCCGGGCGAGAGCTGCCGGCGCAGCAGATGGCCGCGCTCGCCCCTGACATCCTCCAGCCGTGCGCGGCGCAGGACCTTCAAACCTTCGAGTAGAAGGCGATCGGGATCGTCGGCTCTCCTGGTCGAGGGCCTCACGTTCAGGTGGCCATGCTCCTCGTAGTGGGCCTGCAACTGCTGGCGCAGAGGGTCCGCCTGCCAGGTGGGCCGCTGCGCCTCCGGGATCCTGTCGAGCAGCTGCTGCCACCGCGCCACGTCGCCCGGCAAGAGCTGCTCGCCAGTGGAGGCGCTGGCGTACCTTCGGGCCATCGCGCTGTGCAAATAGCGGCGCGCCCAGAGGTCGTCGCCGCCGAGGTCTGCTGCCTCGGCGGGCCAGCCTCCGCGCCGCTGGAGGCACTCGCCCACCACGCGCAGGCGCAGATCCTCCGGACAAGATCTGACTAGCAGCTCATCCCGCAGCGCGTCGACACCTTGCGGCCTCAGGATATCCCTCTGCGTCGCGCGCATACCCCAGACCTTCGCCTCGTGCAACGCGGCCATGGAGCTCCACGTGCGCCTGCGAAGCGCCTCCCTGCGATCGGCGTCCATGGCGGTCGCCGTGCCCGGGGCCCGCTGTCGGGTCTGTCGCACGGCCTCCAGGACGTCTTCCACGACCTGCATTTGCTTCCTCTTGCGGGTAGGGACGTTGAAGGCACTCGCCGCCTCCCCCAACCAGTCGTCATCGAGCGCTTTCCCCGCCTCGATCTGTCTCAGCCGTTCCGAGCGCCGGGCGCTCTCCAGGTCGTAGCGGCTGCGCGTCAGGCGCCCTCGCAAGTCATCCGTGGCCAGAGAAATCAGCAGGTCCTTACACGCGTCCTCGTTGCGCTGGTTGCAGTTGGAGTAGTCTCTACATTCCACCTGCGGCCCTTCGTCCGCGGCGGCCGTCCTCTTCCTGCGGCCGCGCTTGCCCCTGCCTCCCGCGAGGCCCCAAAAATCAGCAGCGTAGCGGGAAGCGGCAAAGTCGGACGCCGCAGGGCGCTTCCGCGCCAGCATGGCGCCCGGCGAAGCCGCCCGGCTGACCCTGGGGGTGCAATCGCCAGACGGCCCCGGGGCCGCGCGGCTGACCCTGGGGGTACACGCGCCACGCGGCCCCTCCGCGGGCAAGCGCGCGCCCGCACGGGAGTCCCCCGGCTGACCCTGGGGGTGGCGGGGAGCGGCGAAGTCGGACGCCGCAGGGCGCTTCCGCGCCAGCATGGCGCCCGGCCGGCGAAGCCGCCCGGCTGACCCTGGGGGTGCAATCGCCAAACGGCCCAGGGGCCGCGCGGCTGACCCTAGGGGTACACGCGCCACGCGGCCCGTCCGCGGGCAAGCGCGCGCCCGCAATGAGTCCCCCGGCTGACCCTGGGGGGGCAAGCGACGCGCGGCCCCGCCCGCGGGCGCGGAGAGCCACTCGAACAACGGAAGTTGGAGGAGGAGGAGGAGGAGGAGGATATAGAACCGCATGCGTGGAAACGTTTTCACGACACGGGAAGGGAGCCAGCGCGAGTTTTCAACGAATCGGCGTGCCGAAATCATGGCGACTGGGAGCGCGCGACGGCTGGGCAACGTTTTCGCGGCACTTTTCTGGGCGACGTGTTAGGGGCTGTGCTGTGCAGGGACGTGACTTGCTGGGTTGAGATGTGCCGTGCTGCGTTGAATCGCGCCGTGCTCCACTTCGTTGTGGGCCAAGTCGCCCTTGGCATCCGAATCGTGGCCGAACTGATCTGGATCTTAAACTCAACCTGCCTGGCCCCCGCGCTGGCCCGCGCGGCGCCCCCGGGCTGGCGACTCGCGGGGTTGATCGACCAACTCGAGCTAAAGATCCAAATCAGTTCCGACGCGCCGAAGCGCGGCCCAGGCCCCGAAACTCTGGCGTTGCGCCTTGCCTTTTCCAGGAAAAACAAAAAGAGGAGCAGAGTCCATGTAGATATCGCGTGCATTATGTTGTGGCGTTTGCCAGATCTTAGAGTAGCCAGCACACGCAGGAGATCGTCCAGTATGTCTCCATGCCGTCGCCAAATAATGGAATATTTTGAACATTTATCTAGTAGATGGTACTTTATGTTTCGCACCAAGGCCAGCCTTCAACGGTTTCTTTATGATGAAGCAGTGTGGAGTTACTAGCAGTAGCAACATCTCACCAGGAAGGCTTCACTGGGGTACCGCCTTCCGCCGAGAGGCCTTCTTCAAAACAGCAATCGCACGATGAAGATTATGAAGTCTTTCAGTTTGTCATGTGCCAATGTTTGTGGGTCTCAAACGCCGCGCAGCATCGCGTCGCTGTTGTTTGCAGCGTTTACACGACAGGAGTGTGGCTCTTTTTTCCACATGGGCTTCCCGGGCGATGCTGCTCACGCATGGCAGCCCGGTGTTCAAGGTTGCAACATGATCGACCCACGAACCCGGAAAGGAATATAGAAATGTAACGCATGGCAGCGTTTTCAAAGACACCTGATTGGGTGACGGGCAAGTGCAATGTTGAGTGTATCGATCTTGATGTACCGTGCCGAAGTCTGTGCTGTGCTGCACCGTGCTGAATTGCGATGTGCCATGCCGCGGTTGTGCTCTATAGCGTCGTGGATCGAGTCCTCCTTTGCATCCGAGTCCTGACCGACCTGATCTGGATCTTAAGCTCGAGCTGCCTGAACACATAGTATCTGCCGCAGAGCTAATTGACAGGGGGACATGCCAGGAGGACGCGCCGCGAAACGTCCCAAGGGACGCGCCAGGCGACGTGCCAGGGGACGTGCCATGGGGTCGCACCGCGGACGTGCCAAGGGACGCGCTACGGAACGTGCCAATGGATGTGCCACGGAATGTGCCAGGGGACGCGCCACGCGACGTGCCAGGGGGACTCGCCAAGGGACGCCCCACGGAACGTGCCAAGGAACGTGCCAGGTTGCAATGCTGATTGTATCGATCTTGATGTACCGTGCCGAAGTCTGTGCTGTGCTGCACCGTGCTGAATTGCGATGTGCCATGCCGCGGTTGTGCTCTATAGCGTCGTGGATCGAGTCCTCCTTTGCATCCGAGTCCTGACCGACCTGATCTGGATCTTAAGCTCGAGCTGCCTGAACACATAGTATCTGCCGCAGAGCTAATTGACAGGGGGACATGCCAGGAGGACGCGCCGCGGAACGTCTCAAGGGACGCGCCAGGCGACATGCCAGGGGACGTGCCATGGGGACGCACCGCGGGACGTGCCAAGGGGACGCGCTACGGAACGTGCTGCGGACAAGCGCTTCGCTCGAGACATCCTGTCAAAGTCCTCATTCTAGACATCCGCCTGAGCGACCTGGGCACGTGAAAACAAACGTTTCGCTCAACACATCCTCAACACATTCTCATGCTAGACATCCGCCTGGGCGAACTGGACACGTGAAAACAAGTAGTTCGCTCGAGACATCCTCGACACATCTTCATGTGAAACGTCCGCCTGGGTGACCTGGGCACGTGAAAACAAGCGTTTCGCTCGAGACGTTTTCAACACCTCCTCATTCTAGACATCCGCCTTGGCGACCTGTACACGTGAAAGCAAACGTCTCGCTCGAGACATCTTCAACACATCTTCATGTTAGACATCCGCCTGGGCGACCTGGACACGTGAAAACAAGCGTATCTCTCGAGACATTCTCAACACATCCTCATGCTAGGCATCCGCCTGGGCAACCTGGACACGTGCAAACAAGCATCTCGATCGAGACTTCCTCAACACCTCCTCATTCTAGACATCCGCCTGGGCGACGAGGACGCGTGAAACCAAGCGTCTCGCTCGAGACATCCTCAAGACCTGGGCACGTGAAACCAAGCATTTCACTTGAGAGATCCTCTGAATTCTGGCCCCCAGGAAAGGACAATCTATAACACAAAACAGGCGTTTCGCTCGAGACATCCTCAACCAACTCTGAAAAACAAGCGTTTCGCTCGAGACATCCTCAAATTTTAATTCGCCGGCCCTCTTCCCATTCGTTATTCATCACAGAAGAAATCCGCCGGCCCTCTTCCCGTCAGATCCGGGGGTAAACCTCTAAAAGAGAACCCTGGGCTTCAGCCCTTTCCGGGAAAATATTAATCCGTAAGGGCTTCGCCAATTTGCCGCCAGCCCCCCTCTATTAGAATGGGACTTGCCAGAGCTGCGTTGGGATGTCTGGGCGCTGACGTGAAGCACTGGACTTCACGCGAGGGCCAATATCTTATTGTACGGCTTGCATTGCAAATCTGAAGAGCTGGCCTTGGGGACGCAACTACGTCATGATTTACAAAGGTTTATTGCTTCGGGGGCGCAATTATTGCGTAAGTTACAAAGGTTTATGGCGTCGGGGACGCAAACACCGCGTAATTTACGAAGGTGTATGGCTTCGGGGACGCGAGTACGGTATAACTTGCGAAGGTTTGCGGCCTTGGTGGCGCACATTTTTCGTAAGTTACGAAAGTTTATGGCGTCGGGGACGCAAGTATTGTGTACGAAAAGAAAGTTTATGGCGTCGGGGACGCGAGTATCAAACGAAAGAAAGTGTATGGCTTCGTGGACGCAAGCATTGCGTAATTTGCGAAGGTTTCTCGCCTCGGGGACGCAAGTCTCGCGTAATCTACGAGGGATTATGGCTTCGGGGACGCGAACATCGCGTAACTTATTGCGAAGGCCTTACGGCCGGTGCCGCCGACCCTGAAGACAGCGATCTGTCAGTGAGGGGAAACAACCAGGCATGGTTGCGTAACTCCTAAGCGGAGGAGTAGGCAGACGAGGAGCCAGATGAGGGGGAGCAAGGCAGGGGAGGAGGAGGAGGAGGAGGAGGAGGAGGTGGAGGAGGAGGTGGAGGAGGAGGAGGAGGTGGAGAAGGGGCCCGTTTTGGTGTCTCTTGGGGCATCTGTTGGGCTTCTTGGGGGCCTCTTGGGGCCTCTTCGGGGCCTCTTCGGGGTCTCCTGGGGCCTCTTGGGGGCCTCTTGGGGCCTCCAGTGAGCTTCTTGGGGCGGAATGCTCAGATTTTTGGTTCGGGCTCCCCGTCTTGGTAGCCTCCGGGGCCTTCTTGGGCCGTTTTGGGCGCCTCTTGGGAGCCCTTTGAGCCGTGTTGGGGCCTTCTTGAGGGCTTCTTGGACTGTCTTCAACGACGTGAAGGCCGAAAAGTCGTATAGGCCAAACATGATGGACCCACGAACCCGGAAAGGGATATAGACATGTGGAGCATGGACACGTTTTCATGATACCCAACTGGGCAACACCTCACGAAACATCCCACGAGACACCTCACGAAACAGCCCACGAGACACCTCACGAAACATTCCACGAGACACCTCACGAAACATTTCACGAGACACCCCGCGAAACATTCCACGAGACACCCCACGAAACATTCCACGACGACAGGCAACCACTCAACCAAGGCGGTGTGGTCGTGCTGGGGAGTGGTCGTGCTGGGGTGTGGTCGTGCTGGGGGGTGGTCGTGCTGGGGGTGGTCGTGCTGGGGGGGTGGTCGTGCTGGGGGGTGGTCGTGCTGGGGCGTGGTCGTGCTGGGGCGTGGTCGTGCTGGGGCGTGGTCGTGCTGGGGCGTGGTCGTGCTGGGGTGTGGTCGTGCTGTGGTAAGGTCGTGCTGGGGTGCGGTCGTGCTGGGGTGTGGTCTTGCTGGGGTGGGGTCGTGCTGGGGTGTGATCGTGCTGGGGTGGGGTCGTGCTGGGGTGTGGTCGTGCTGGGGTGTGGTCGTGCTAGGGTGGGGTCGTGCTGGGGTGGGGTCGTGCTGGGGAGTGGTCGTGCTGGGGTGTGGTCGTGCTGGGGTGTGGTCATGCTGGGGCGTGGTCGTGCTGGGGTGGGGTCGTGCTGGGGTGGGGTCGTGCTGGGGTGGGTTCGTGCTGGGGTGCTCCGCACCCTGTGATTTATCGATCGGGGTGTGGTCGTGCTGGGGTGTGGTCGTGCTGGGGTGTGGTCGTGCTGGGGGGTGGTCGTGCTGGGGCGTGGTCGTGCTGGGGTGGTCGTGCTGGGGCGTGGTCGTGCTGGGGTGTGGTCGTGCTGGGTGAGGTCGTGCTGGGGTGTGGTCGTGCTGGGGTGTGGTCGCTGCGTGCTGGGGCGTGGTCGTGCTGGGGCGTGGTCGTGCTGGGGCGTGGTCGTGCTGGGGTGTGGTCGTGCTGTGGTGAGGTCGTGCTGGGGTGTGGTCGTGCTGGGGTGTGGTCTTGCTGGGGTAGGGTCGTGCTGGGGTCGGGTCGTGCTGGGGTGTGGTCGTGCT